AAGATGAAGGTCAAACGCGCTTATTTTATCCGTGCATAGTTATCATGTTTCTTGAAACGATTCAGTGTGATTGTTACTTTTAACAATTTTTTGATTGTTAAAAATATATTAATTGATTGTTAATTTTAACAATTTTTATTTTTAAAAATATGAAGATTTTGGAATGAATTATATTGTGTAAACAAAGTATGCTTAAACTTCATGTCCGTAAACTTGTTGAATGCAAAACACTAATAAAAAAAATAAGATTATGATTCAACACTCGTCGTTTTTATCTTCTTGCTCACTTCTTGATATATTGATAACGACATATGGAAATAGATTGCGATAAATTAACACTAGATTCCCCAAGGAAGTCATTTTGACTGCTTTTTAATTTCAATTAGAAAAACAATTATATAATAATGACATAATTTCTTAGAATTTTGTGACTTTTTGTACAACATATAAATGTGTTTATTAATAATTGTAGTTACCTCCCCCCTCCTTCATTTCCGGTATATATATATGTGTTATACCCATATTGCCCAAAAGCAGTCAAAATGACTGCTTGGGAAATTTTAAATAATCAAATAACTCTTATTATTGAATTGAGTAGATTTCTTATATTACCAGTTCGACTCTGTATTGAAATAACAGTTTTCATTTTTTTGCGATTACCGTTACATGATAACATACAAGTACATGATAAATTGTCAATTTGGGCGTATACATGATAAGTTGCAGTTGCTCAATAGTAAAAAACTAAAGTAGTACTTATTATTCGAATCTTTATGCAGTGATACTTGTTCTAACAAGTTGTTTATTTTATTTCTTTGCACCCTAAATTCATGATAGAAATGAAGAATAGAAGTGAGTTATTGGAAAAGCTACCGAACATAAGTGAAGAGTGCTCCGATATAGAATCAGATGCAACAAATTCTGAACTATCATCTGAAGATGAAGCGGATTATATTCAAAGTGAAACACAGGTTTTCCTTATTTGGGGAAAGATAAACAACGACCATCGTCAATGCTTCTTTGTGAACACGTTGTTCTGAAACTTGTCGAGCCATATACAAGCTGTGGAAGAAATATCACGACCGGTAACTTTTTCACTAGCATGTCACTCGCGACAAAATTATTGACCAAAAAAATAATCCTAGTTGGAACTATTAGAGGAAACAAAAGAGAACTACCCAAAGCAGCCAAACAAACGAAGGATAACATGCCTCGTTTTTCCACTCTGCTATATAAATCAGAGAATTGTGTTCTTACAATATATAAAAGCAAACCAAATAAAAGAGTAGCTGTTCTAAGTTCTAAGCATAAATTTGTAAAAATTGATAAAAGTAATAAAAAAATGTTACCGGAATCTATTCAATTTTATAACAGCACAAAATTTGGAGTTGATATGGCGGATCAAATGGTCAGAAAATATACAGTAAAAGCTAGTTCTCGTAGATAGCCCCTTCAAATATTTTTGAATATTTTAGATTTGGCTGCTATAAATGCTTGAATCCTTTACAAAGAAACGACAGGAATACAAATACAACGAAAAGAGTTCTTGTTTCAATTAGCAGAACAGCTTTCCACCGAATACAGAGCTGCAAGACAGAAAAATTCATCAGAACATAAAGATCAAACTGCAACATCATCAAATGTAACCCATTCTAACAAACGCAAAATTTGTCAAGTACGACTTTGCCACAACAACAAAACAAATAATATATGTGAAAAATGTCAAAGGTATGTTTGCGGAAGATGTACACATAAAAAGATTTCCACTTTCATTTGCATAAAATGTACAAATAATAATGCATAAATTATTTTTTTTTCCGAGTAAAGTAAATCTTTTTTATTGTTAATATTTACTAATAACTTGTTATATAATTATAAATAATATAAAAAATATTAAAAATAAATTTTAAACAAATTTCAAAACACATTAGTTATTCGTTCATAATGCTATCATTTTGACTGCTTTTGAACAATATAGGTATATACTAAGTTTCGGTCTTTCTAGTGTTAAATACAAAGCAAAGAATGTAACCATATAATGTTTTCTCTGACGATATCAGATAAATAAATGTTCAATATTTCATCACTAATATTACGACTAAACATAAATGAAAAGTAAGCGTTAATTAATTTTATGGTTGGTTAAATTACTCCAATCGACAAAGCAAAAAGACTCTAATCTAGGCTAATAAAAACAGCCATACACAATATAAGAAAACAAGGAAAAAACACAATTGAAAATCCTAAAATGGAATTACTAATGGTCATGCTCGTCAAAAATTTATTAAAAAAATTATAATCAGTGACTTGTATCGATTCGAATCTTTCGTTATTGTCATAATGTAAAATTAGGAAAACGTTCATATGTGTGTAAATGTCGAAAGAATGCTAGAAATAATATATATAACAATGGAACGTATTTCTAGGAATTGTGAGCGATAAAAATGAATGTTTATGTATATGCGGAGATTAAGCAACGTCTATGCGCATTTTGTATAAACGAGCTTTGTCTGGATGTAATACGTAGATCCGCATTCTAAAAGATATACATGGTTGAAAGAAAGTGATAATGAACAAGAGAAAGAAAGAAAGAAACGTAAGCAATATAAAATTAGTGCGGAGAGAATAGAATATAACAGAATAGAATAGAGTAAAGAGAGCAGAGCAGAACAGAGCAGAGCAGAGCAAAGCAAAGCAAAGGGAAGCAAAGCAGAGTAGTTGAGTTTTATCGATCATCGAGCAAATGTATAGACAAAAAGTTTGTATATCTCAAGAGACAGTATAGAGAACCTTTTTATATCTTTATTTGAATAAAAGCATTTGTTGTTTTCCATACTTTGGTGGTTTCCTAAACCCACCTACAATAACGAATACTAGAGGGATTTTAATTTGTTCACTTACTATTTAAAAAGTTCTATGGTGGTTCTAAAATACTCATTTGCAATGTAGATCGAAATTAACTTGAGAAGGCAATGATTACCTGAAAAAGAATTTTAAAAAATTTATATTTGTTATATGAAGTAAGTATTTCGTCTTTAAATGAGAATGATATAATTGGTCAGGTTAACGTAACGTTAACGGAATGTCGTATGCTCTCGCATATACACGTAAAATAAATTGATGCAATTCTAATTTAGCAGTCGAGCAAAAACACAATTGCTCATTTTAATACTTTAAAGCCGTTTATATCAGCTTTGCGAGTTTTTTAATAATTTAAACACATGTAATGACTATATTTCATTTACGATAATAATTTCTTTTTTACGTAAAACTACGTACATTTTACATAAAATAAAAAATACTTCATTTTTAAAAGAAATATGTTAATTTTAACAGATAACAGATGCAATAAAAATCATATATTTTTCAAGATATTTTTGGACGGTATTCGAAAAATTTATAAAGTATTATAAGAATTAAGCAATAATGCGACTGGGGTACCGAATCCGTAACTTTACGATTTCTGTTTTTTTTGTACCTCAATATCCTTGTTAAAAGAATAGATTTATTATAAGTAATAAATCTTTGTATTATTTTGCAACGTAGTAAAAAGTTAATTATTTCCGCTAATATTAAATTCACTGTAATAAAAAGAATTGTAAATTTAAATTGGCTATAAAATTTCAACATTTACTTACCAATATTCTTCTGTAAAACAAGTGTATTAGTATCTTGATCATCTTCCGTGATGCACTGACTCTATTACGCGATAATTATTTATTCATTAAAAGACAATGAATTGAATTTACTAATACTTATTGTTTGTTTTGTATGTAAATACAGGTAAACAATATAACAGTATAACGCAAATATTCCGTTCCATAGAAATGATACATTATATAAATTCTGTTATGCGAGACTCGAATTTAATAGAACACAGAATCTAATAAAACTTCATGCACATAACGCATAAATGTTATGAACAAAATAAGGTAAAATAAGTGAAAAGATAAAAATCTAACAATTTCAAGACCGCGTTGTATCGTAATTGCATTATACTATAATTTATACTATAATATATATTATAATTGCATTATAGGGTGTTACCTGTATACTTTAAATGATTATAAAAAAGAAGTTAAGGCTGTTCACTAACCCAGGATTTTTAATTGTTTATGCCATCAATGAGAAGAAGGTTTAATCTACGGCGTATTGATCTCAAATTTTTAAAAAAGCTGTTTTTTTTTTTTAATTGTGTTAAAAAACGGTATTTTTGGAAAATAGTTCAAATTTTTTTTTTAACATTATTCACTCGATCATTTTAATAAACTTTGGTCAGATGATTTTATGATAAAAATAAGAAAATACATGTCTAATCGTTTATGTCAAGGTATCTAAATTAATAAATTATTGGTAAATTTTGAAAAAATTTGTAATTTCTTTTGGATTTTATAGACTAAAAAGACAAAGATTCTACAAAGTATATATAGATCAAGCACATAAATTCGTAATTCAGGAAATCTTAAATTTGAAGCTCAATGATTCCGGTTATTTGTTTTATTCAAATCAATGTAAATGAAAATAATGAACTAATTTACTCTTTTTCTCCTTATTTTTTTCCTTATTTGATAATTTAGTAAGGTATTATTATCCAATCTATTATATTACTACCGGCTAGTGACTGATGTGAATTTCGCAGTGATCTGTGCTAGGTAGGACATAGTAGCTGTATAATTCTGTTCGATGACAAATGCATGTAAAGTAAATATATTTGTCGATTATTTTTTCAAAATTAATAATTTTTAAACATATATATTATACATTATTTTTCATAAAGATCAAAATATGAGTTCGTTTCCACATAATCTACGAGATTTTTCTCCTAATGCTATTTTGTTATAGTTTCCTCTATAGTAGTTCACTTCATATTATTACTATTATTACTACTATACTATAATAATAATATGTAATGTAATAATATAGCAATAAAAACAGTAATAAGAAGAAATAAAAGAATATACTTATATTGTATACATCATGATATATATGATGATGGTAATTTATGATAACAAAAAAAGAAAAAATGTATAATTTTACATGACTAATACAAACAGCATATGAAAAAAAGGAACGTTTCTTTTGTTTTTGTCCGTTAAGATTTTTCTTTATCTTATTACCTTATGATCTTTATGCATTTGTTTCTTCATTGTTTCTTATTCACTATTTATATACTAATATAAATAGATTTATATACTAATTTTTATATGCATCAATTTTATTTATTATTTCTATGCTTTTATCGTAAAACAAATATGTACAGACGTCCTATCTAACACGAATCACTGTAAGACACGCATACTACCATAAAAAAAAGATATACATATGAGAGACTGAAAAGTTCGTTCACTGTCTACTAAACTATTGACTCTACCTACACGAAACCAATTGATATGTCGCGTGAGAGGGAAATAATCAACACAAGCTTATACATCGATACGAGAGACGTATGATGGTTACAGCATTTCCCGCTTGTTTCGTAGTTCATATTTTGTCCACATATCTATCGCTGAAGACACATACGCTTTGAACAAAAGGTAGTGAACAGCCTTACATAAAACTTTATACGACAAAAATTGACTCTAAAACTTTGCGCGCAATCTATTCAAATACACATGCTCATAGAAGTTAATTGAAATTACAAAACGCAAACAAATTTAAATAAACTTAAAAACAGTCAACTTCACGATTCTTTTTTTACCTTATTGAAATAAGAATCAACCTATTCATGGCTGCATGGACAACTGCACAATAAGATCTGAAACAAAATGAAAGCAATATTATTAGTATCATTATTATAATAAAGAAAACTCCTTGAATGTATATGTATACTAAAGAAATAAAAAGAAATTACTTGAATTTCTATTAATAAAAAGTAACAAATGAAATAAAAATAGTGCGAAATAAAAAGGAGTAATAAACAATATTAACTATTAACTATTAACTATAAAATATTAATCACATTTATAGCACTAATTATTTTATAATGAAAGTAAATTAATTAATATTTAGTACATTAATAATATTATAATAAAAGTACAATAATTAATACAACTATTAATCATGGTTTATTTAAAAATGATGATAATTATCCTAAAATAAAATAAAATAAAATAAAATTATGATGAAACAATCAATAAGAAAATAATATTACTTACGTACCTACATTTGTAGCAGAACAGTCGAGTGTTGTCGCAGGGATCATATCATTGAATAGTGAGGAAAGTCACCTTCCCTAACTTTGTTTATCATGCGGCAACAAAAAACTTTCCTATAAAATAACAAACAAAATAGTACAATAGAAAGTTCGTCCTTATTAATGTATGTTCTTTTACTAAAATTTACTTGAAAATTTTAAAACCATACATTTAACTTATTTTCAGCTACATACGAAGAGCAATGAAAAACAAAACTCAATCTTCACTGTACTGTGTATAAAGTTTCGTCGATTCGTAGAATATTATGTATTATAATCTGTAAAATGAAAATGTTTTATTAATATAAATTAAGATTACATATATATACACACACACATACATACACGTATAGAATTAAGGTTTTGAGAAAATGATTGAAACAATTTATCTCACAAAATAATTTTAAAAAGTAATATATATATAATAGCTCTAAAAAAGATCCGTTCGACAATACAAAACTTACAGAATGTCCTCTTTATTGGCTTCCAAATTTTCTTTCAATTGTAAGTCAGGCATTCAGTCACCTTCTACACGTTTATATCATTCACTTGGCAATAACAATCCGGATATAAATACAAGTGTGCAAGTATATTTATAAATATATGGATACATAAATGTACGTATTATATGTACATATTGTATACCCGTATATATACGATGTAAACGAAAATCGAACTATAATCAATCATGATTAAAACCCAAACAAAGAATACAAACCGCAAAAATAAAAGCTAAAAATTCTAGAAAAAGTATAACGTAATAATCCTCACGATAGACATGTCTAAATGCCAATTTTATTTTCACGAATATATTTCAAACGCGTCATTTTTTCGATTTGCAAATGCTATATTATAAAAATCACATGTCTGATTATCGATTAGTATATTGGAAGAATCTGTAATTTAGAAAAAAAACATGTTAATTACCCGTAATAAGAAGAATAACAAAACTTCGTGTCGCTAGCACAGATAAATCCTAAATAGCCTTCACATTAACACCGGTAGGATGAAGCCTTATAAAGCGCAATCTTGTGGACATTTCGTACAATAGATCAGGACCGAATTAATAGTTTGCGAATCGTATGCCATTCCATCCTATCTATCTGACTCTTTCTCGTATATATTCAGTTTACGAAAATAATAGTACACTCTGTAAATTTTATAATAGTTTCGGAAGATTGTATAATTATGTAGTTTTTTATCCGTATACGTCTTCAACTGCGAAAGTAATTATATGTCAATTTCATTGAGTTTAACATGTCATTTATAGGGCTTGCTTCGACTTCCCATTCGAAAAACGTTACAATATTTAAAAGTTGTGAATACGCTCCTGATCTGATCACATCCTCATCACGTACATTTGTTTACACTCCTGACTTGTCTCAAACGAATTATGATGCTAATGGCGTATTCTAATCTATAGACTAGTAGTAAGATTCATACAACAATAGAGAGGAAAATATTGAAAAACCCGCAACAGATGACTAAATAAAAGCAAATAATAAATAAATTTATCTATGTAATAAATTTCAATCTTGTAAATATTTGGAAGAAATAATATTTATCTGTATCTATTCATTTTTTATTTAAAAACGTCTAATAATATAGAATTTATAATTGAAATGAAATGTTAGAAATCGATAGAAGTCGGAAATCATAAGAAATGTTCAGATTGTTACTTTCAAAAAGAAACTGAAGCGACAAATTCGCAAGGAAGTAATAATTTGAAATAAATAATGGTTTTTTGGTTTTTAAAAAAATAATCGGACAATGAAGGCTTTTATGCAAAACCTTTATTATATATATTTGTTTCGATTTGTTTTAATTGTCTTACTCTTTTAAAAGATATTAAATCCTCTAAAATCCAATTCTTTTTTCGTGTCTACAAACAAAATTATATATTGTATAAAAGTTATATAATATTATTTCTACTAATACAATTATACTATATACTAATTGTATTACTTCCAGTTACACTTTCATATTACATATAAAAAAAAACTAAACAATAATAGAAAAAAAAAAGAAAAAACCGGTTGTGTCTATCACATAATAAAAGTGAAACTTCTTTAGTTAATTTAATTTTGTTTAATATAATTTTTTAATTTTAATCTTTCTTGTTATTCCCGTGTTTAGTTGTTCTATCAGTGAATTTTAAAAGAGAAAAAAGAGAGAGAGAGAGAGAGAGAGAGAGAAAGAGAGAGAGAGAGAGAGAGAGAGAAAGAGAGAGAGAGAGAAAGAGAGAGAGAGAGAGAAAGAGAGAGAGAGAGAAAGAGAGAGAGAGAGAGAAGAGAGAGAGAGAGAGAGAGAGAGAGAGAGAGAGAGAGAGAGAGAGAGAGAGAGAGAGAGAGAGAGAAAGAGAGAGAGAGAGAGAGAGAAAGAGATTTTGAATAATTATAAATTATATTAAAAATATTGAAAATAATTTATTTATATAAAAATATTGTTTTACTCTATTTCTATATGATGTGATAGATAGGCAGGTATCGGAATAGGAGAAAGGACAATGAGAATTCGAGAAACAAAGGATGAGTCAGAAAGGCATTAAGAAAGGATGAAAGATAGAGAGAGTGAGAAGAATATAAGAGCGAGAGAGACGGTGATGCTTAATCTTCATCTGCTTTCTTACACTTAAGATCACGTATAATCTCAACATTATTACTACGAGTCGCAAAACAAAGACCTGATAATTTTATAAAATATTTTTATTTATTTATTCAAACTTATATCTTCTTATTATAATATTTCCTTTTTCATAAAAAAAGCATTTTCAATAAAATAAACACTTTCTTTACTTTAAAAAACTGTTGAATCTTTTTCTTATAAACCAAGTGCTGTTTTAAATGCTCTTTTAATTGAGTGTAATATGTGATAATTTTAACTTATCTTCTAACGAAGATGATGAGAAAATAGTGTAAAAAAATTTATTTCTTTTATATACAGCCACAACTCGTTGTAAATGAGGATGCTTTTTATCTGCAGCTTCCAGATTCATAATTTGTGTTCCTCAAAGCTTTTTGGGTTGAAGCATAGCAACCGTGTTATTCTTTGGACTCTTTTCATTCTATAATGTAAAATATATTCATACGCGTTTTTATGTGTTTCCTCTCTTTATTTTAATTCTATCGCGCATTTGGCCCCATAATCTATTAGATTACGATGAAGAAAATAATTGTATATGATGGAATAATACTTAAAAACTTATAGTAATATGGAAAAAATACATAGCTTAACGCGTGACTTCGTTGCATTCGTTGAAAATCATCAACTAACAAACTAAAAATTCAGACAATCACTCGTGATATTAACATTAGAATGCATAACATGTATATATTAGAAAGAGTGCTTTGATGAACTCATCTTACATGATTTCTAACAAATAAAAAATATGAAAGATCACCACGTGTTCGTATTAGCCAAACCACTGGAGTTTTGTCTGTAACTCTGGGCACGAATTATTTTTAGAGATTCTTGGCAACAGATAAGTATAAAAAACTTAAAAATTAAATAGAATATAAATATATTAAAAAAATACAATTATTTTTTATTTATAATGTTCTGTTATTCTTATATATTTAATCGAACAATTTACATACAAGAATTGTATATATAGTTCAAACAACGTAAGATTAGAAACAACTCGATTGTCTCCTTGTAATAGACTCTGAGCTTCAAATACAGATAAATAAATAAATAAATAAATAAATAAAATAAAATAAAACAAATATTATTTTTTTTAATATAAATATTTGAAATAGAAAAAATGTAATATTTAAGGTGATCTAGAATTACTCCATAACGAAGCAGATGATAGATGTAGGATATTCAGCATCTAATGATGTAACTGAACATTCAATACTATCAATTTAGAGTCGATCTATTTGTTTCTATTTGTTTTTCTAGCTTTAGTTACATTTGACATTGCTTTTTTTTCTATTTTCTTAAATGTGAAAAACTAATATTTAACATTAACATATGTTTATTGTAGCTGTTTTTTTTATAGATTTTAACAATATCTAAGAAGAAACATTCATAATTATTTGAAGAATATTGGAATTTTCCTCATTATGTACGAGAATTAGATGGAATATATAGCAATAAAAGCTCCTCCAAGTACTGCCAACTACTACTATATTTATAAAGAATTCAATAGTGTAGTGTTGATGGCATTTCTTGATACAAAATATAAATTTCTAGGTACGTGGGCATCGAATTTAGTGGAAGAGTTTCTAATGGAGATATATATAAGATTGTACTTTATTAAATAATTCACTAAATTTGCCTGCTACAGAACACTTAATAAAACATACGAAACCTCTATTCTATGTCATTGTTGCTGATAATGTGTTTGCCATAAAAACTTATATATTAAAACTGTATCCTTTTTGTAAACAACCAGCACCGAATTGTGTATTTAATTATTTTTTCTCGAGAGCTAGACAAATTGTAGAAAATGCATTTGACCTTATTATTAATCTATTTCGTATATTAATAAACCACTAGAACTTTTTGCAAGAAAACCACTTTTAGTATCAGCACTATGCGCATTACACTATTTTCTCCTGACATAAGAAAATAAATTCTATGAAGTAACAAAGTATTTTTAATATAGATAAGGAGCATGAGAAATAGAGAATTCTTGGTATGCCAACATTGAACCTATTAGAATTACAACAAGAACAAACTCATAATTGTATAGAAATTGCTGAAATTATACAAAACAAATTTTGTATAATTTCTATTTTGTCTTCCCACATGGAAAAATACATTAATAATATAACAATATAAACATATATAACAATATTGAATAAACTTTATAAATGTTTTATGTAAAAATAAAAATTCTCATTTTATTATTCATGTGTTTATGTATGCTTTACTTACCATCTTTCATGCGAATCATTTTTATGAATATATATTACGGCATGGAAATATTTCTGATTATTCGGATATATATCTTCTATTAAATTATCACTGTGTTTCATTTATATTTTTCTCACTTCCTGGTAGAATCGTGTACATAAATTGTGTAATTTAATTTTCATTACTATTAAATTCACTCGAAGGATTATTTAAGACATTCTGTTTTTATATTTTATACCGATAATTTTTGCTCTTTAATAAAATTTGAAGAAAATTCATAAAAATCTATCCATTACAAAATTAATTCCTTTCTTCGCTCAACACTTCTTTTTATTATCTTTAGCACATGAACTCTCATAAAATATTTGGGACGCCATTGAAAGTTAGAAATAACTGTCTAAAAGAAAAAAAGAGTTCACATTATATATTGTTTCGCTATCTGAAAGCAATTACGGCAATCAGTTCAATTTACCAGTCATCATATCAGATGTGTTTATAAATATCACGAAAATTACTCTTACAAGAAATGTCGCAAGTTACTTGCTAATATATCCGCAAATTATCCATTGCCATATCAAGGAGAGAAAAAAGAGAAAAAATCTGAAAATAGTGGTTTAGTAATACAGGAAAGTACAATAGTAGTAGTAGTAATTATTGTTAGGATTAAGTTAGGTTAGGTTAGAGATACGACACGTACATAATACACAATTAATGTAACATGATGTAAATGACGGATGTGAAGTAGCAGTGGGAGGTAATGTGTTCCATCGAGAATGAATTCTCCCGATACGATGATGAAACTTAAAATTTCAACGATTGTTTCATGAGTGTCAATTTTGATAACTAATTATATAACTAGTATTTAAATTTAGCTGTTACAAATATTGTGTTTATTAGACACGTAAATTAAATAACTTCACTAAAATTACTTTTAAGCTTGAAAATGTATTTACTAGAATTTCTGTTTTATATAACTATTCTGTTTTGCAATAACAAACATTGATTGCAAAGTAAATCGTTCGATTAAATGTATAAGAATAACAAAACATTATAAACAAAAATGAAACATTATTTTATGCGATCACAAAGAAAGAAAAAATTAATAAATTTGGGCGAACACGTTACAATATAACAGAAAATATTCTATATCGAAAAGGTAAAAATTATAAATTTTAACAATATTGTTGTTGTATAAATTTTGTACTTACTATTGTAGTAAGTATTGTATATTTATTTTAGTTGCTGGCATTTTATACATTTGTAATTCATATTTTTATTTTGCGTGTACGGACATAAGATGTAATTTTTTTTGTCTAACTTATTATTTCTTTTTATCTTCACTGGGCCTTCAACATTATTATTTGTATCTTACAACATGTTTTTTATAAAGCTTCTTTAATTTCATCATGTAAAGTTTGTTAAGATAAATTTGTTACAGAAATAAGATTTTATTATTGCAAAAGCCAAGTTCCTTAAAAGTCAAATCCTTTTATATTTTCTTAATTTTTGAAACACAAATGTAGAAGCTTAGAATATGTATTATGGGGACTGGAAAGTAATGTCGTTTCTGTGCATGTTGATATTTGATTGTCATTTGTCAGCTCATTATGTACTTCGAAGTCGTATCAAAGACATTTTAAGGTTATTGTGACTTGTTCACTTCTAAATAATTAAATATTAGACTTTTTTTTGCAATTTGGGGTGAAATGGCCAGCCAAATACCAGAAGAGCATATCCGGCATTGTATGCTTTTTGAGTTTCGTAAGGGTTCAACAGTTGCGACCAAAAACATTTGCGATGTTTATCCAAGTGTATTAGACGTTCGTAAATGCCAAAGATGGTTCTCTAAGTTCAGATCTGGTAATTTTGATCTCTCTGACACCTATCGATCAGGAAGACCAACAACATTAGACAACGACATGCTAAGAGCAGAAGTGGAAGCAAATCCATGTCAGATAATCGAAGAACTCTCAAACACCCTTAACCAACCTTGGTCGACCATCCAAGAACATTTGCAGCAAATTGGAAAAATAAGCAGAGCAGGTGTTTGGATCCCCCATAATCTGTCCGAAGAGAACAAAGCCAACCGATCCATCACATGCAACGTATTGCTTCAACGGCACCATACAGAACCGTTTTTTGATCGCTTGATCACCGGAGACGAAAAATGGGTCCTATATGGTAATCCAAAACGCAAAAGGCAGTGGCTCTCTCTAAATGAATCACCACGAAGTACGGCAAAGCCGGGTTTACATCCAAAAAAGGCGCTTGTGTGTGTTCGGTAGAGTATACGCGGAATTGTTCATTTTGAAGTGCTGAAACCTGGACAAACTGTTAATGCAGATCTTTATTGTGAACAATTGGATCGAGTGAACCAATCTTTAAGCGAAAAGTATCCGGCGATTGTCAACAGAAAAGGCGTTATTCTGCAACACGAGAATGCAAGACCGTACTGTGCAAGACGAACCTTGGAAAAAATTAATGAATTGGGGTGGGAGGTACTGCCTCACCCATCATATTCGCCTGATATCGCACCCTCGGATTTCCATTTATTCCGATCGCTACAACATTTTCTTAGTGGAAAAAAATTTGAAAATTTGGATGATGTCCAAAATGCCATCTCGAGATATTTTACTCAAAAACCAATTGATTTTTATCGGTCCAGCATTGAAAATTTGCACACTAGATGGCAAAAGGTTATTGATAACGAAGGTGATTACATTATTGATTAAAAATAAAAACTTATTAAAAATTTATTCGTTTGAATTTAATTTAAGAAAGCGACATTACTTTCCGGTCTCCCTAATATTTATTGCAAAAATGTTTATCATCATGAAAAAAATTGCCAGTGGCCAACAATGACATCTTCTATTATATGAGTAATTAGCAAGTAAGAAAATGCAAACGTCAAAGTTGCATTAACATATTGGATATCGGTAAGAAGGTACAGAAAAACAGGACTTTTCCAGTGCAGCAGTTATATCGTACTGTAATAAAGTAAACTACATAAAATCAATACATAAAAATGCCAGTATTAAATGAAGCACGTTCTGAAAATAAATGTTAGTTTAAAAAGTATAGTTCTAGAGCTATAGGTTTTCCTTGCATTAATGGAACTATAAACTGGTACGTATTTGAATGATACATACTAGATTTCAAACTATTTATGTGATTTTTAGGAATCAAAACGGATAGTTTTCTTTGAATGTTCAAATATATACTTTTGTTTAAATAATTTTAATTGTAAATGTTATATATACATATTATCTAATATTGCTTAATATGCATTTAAATATACACAAAAACTTGTATTTCATTAATGTTTTAATCATTAAAATTTCTTTCATATAATTTTTTTATAGGCTGTTATTGTTTTTTATAGGCTGCTATGATCCTCTAACCTCTCCTCCACTTTATTCTCCCTCTCCCTCCCACTCTCTCTTTTTCTCTCTTTTACATGCAAACACACACTAAACAAATGTAAAGCAAATATAGATAGTGAAGCAAGAACTTTGATAAATTTCAAATATCTTCGTTCTTTTTTAGAAATATTTAGAGAACTTCAATTTAGAAGACTTTGTTTTAGAAATAAGTTTCAAAAATCTTTGTGTTAGTAACTCATATATTCAATCTTTCTTGATTTCTCTATTTATGTTAATTACAGAGACACAGAGACACAGAGCTAGAGAGGGAGAGAGGGGGAGAGAGAGAGAGAGAGAGAGAGAGAGAGAGAGAGAGAGAGAGAGAGAGAGAGAGAGAGAGAGAGAGCTCTGATGTATACTGTTTTTGTTTACATTCCAAGTAGTCAATGCGAGTGCGACATTAAAATTGTTAAGTATAGACAATATAAATTAACATTGTATTTAATGAAGGCAAGGAGTTAGAGTTCAAAATTTTAATTATCGACATATCGAGTAAAACTTATTTTATATTTAACGCTTATTCCTAGCTAAGAAAAGTTTAAGCGAATCAACAATTATTTCAATATTTATTTATGGTTTTGTATTAAAGATCGTCTAAATAACTGGAAAATTATCAAACTTATAAATTATTGAAGTATGAAAAGTAAGTATTTTGATGTTCTTTAATATTCTTTAAAACCTCCACATTGCATGTCTCATCCGTACCAAATTGTAAAATTTCATGAGTGTATGAAGTGTCTGCTGGTGTAGATTAGAGTAGAATGAATGTGGATTTCTTTTCTGTATACACAATTTCTGAAATAATAGTTAAAATCTATAAACATTTATTTGAATAAGTGAATTTTTAAAATATATATTAGGTCGGTGCGTATGAAATGTCGGATTTTCTTTAAATGTGAACGTTTGTTTTCCTGTTTTTGTTATGTTTTTGTTTTTGACATAACCTGGTTTATAGTCGTATTGTCCATTGCCAGAATCACATTTTAGCAAAGAAGATTTTCTCAAAAGTGTTTCTTTTTGTTATTTGCTTTGAATTTTGCACCGATATGAATTCAACCGATATTTGTGTAATTTTCTTATATGAGTATAAAGTTGGTAATAATGATGCAAAAGGTGCACGCAATATAAACCAGGCGTTTGGGGAGAATACTGTGTACGATCAAAAAGTGCAGCGTTGGTTTGAAAAATTTCGGTCTGGTGATTTTTCCCTACAAAATGAACCGCGTGGAAGACCCGAAACGTTTGTGAAAAATGATGCTCTGAAAGCATTGGTGGAATCCAACTGTTTCTTCAAGGGAACTTGCTGCTAGAATGGAACTTGACCATACAACAATATTGCGACATCTTTTTGAAATTGGCGTGGTGAAAAAAATGGATAAGTGGATACCGCACGAACTAACCGAGCGAAATAAGCTGGATCGCTTGAATGTATGCTCATCATTGCTAACCCGATTTAATCGAGATCCATTTTTCGATCGGATCATTACTTGTGATGAAAAATGGATTCTTTACGAGAATAGGAAAATGTGTGCTCGGTGGTTTGATAGGGGCTCGTGCTTGTACTCATACTCCACGCCCATCACTTCATCCGCGGAAAATTTTAATTACAGTTTGGTGGAATGTGACTGGAGTAATACACTACTCATTCCTTCGAACTGGAATGTTAATTACAGCCATAAAGTATTGCCAGTACATTGAAAAAATGCATGAAAAATTGAAAATTATACGCCCATCACTTGTTAATCGGCATGGCCCAATACTTCTCCACGACAACGCTCGGCCGCATACATCGTACAAACAATTGCGAAATTAAATGAATTAAAATATGAAATTTTGCAGCATCCACCTTATTCACCGAATCATTCGCTAACCGACTTTCATTTATTTAAACATTTAGAACTGTTTTTACGGGCTAAACAGTATGAAAATGAAGACAGTCTGAAAAATGCTATATCAGAGTTCATTGATTCTAAAGATCAGAATTTCTTCAAGACAGGCATCTATCCATTAAAATCTCGTTGAGAAAAGTGTATTGAAGTAAATGGAGCATATTTTGATTAAATAAACAGCTTTTGGCAAAAGATATGCAGTTTAATATATTCACTTAAGAATCCGACATTTCATTCGCAGCAACCTAATATTTCTTACTTCCAGATTATTATGAACTAATTGAAAAAGTGTTTCAGACATTATCTCCCAAATTACTAAGATAAATATTTCCAAAATTTCAAGGCTAAGATTAGCTTGTAGTACCGTTAAAATTTCTATCAAGATAATGGAAAAGCCGATGCATTGTATTAGTAATAGTATCCATTACTTCTGCTCCTTACATAAGACACCTACAATAATAAAATATTAAAAAAAAAATTTTTCGGTGAATCACATACATTTTACTATTAGCATGAGAAGAAATTTTACTTACCTTCTATAGTAGGTGACATTTTATACGCAACAATTATTATCAATAACATGTAATATATCAAAATTAAACAGATCCATCGATTCGTTCTTCCGCCTTGTATACTGCAGTATCCAATCAATGCAGTATCCAACAACACTGGCTCTAAACCACCTGTCGTGATAATTCTGTTTTTTCTGAGATTCCAATTGTCCTTCAGCACAAACTATTTGGCCCACTCTATAAAACAGTTAACTATTTTAAATAGGATGCATTAAATAATTATTAAAATAATTCATTGACTTTATATCTTACATAGCATATATCGTTTAAGCGTCAGATAGAATTCGAACAAAGTTTTACCAAGCTTTAATTCAGAATCATTATTACCATCGAATTCTATGCGATTAAACCTCGGTAAAACATATCTTCCACAGCATACATGCCCATTTAAATTATTTTACAAATATGCACACATACATATATCTATAGAATGAAGATTTATATAGTTTACATCAACATAATATAATACAACTAAATTACTTAGAGTTTATTATATATTCAATTTTTACATCAATAACTTTAGACAGAATTCCCTCAATTAAAAAGAAAAATCTTAAAATGAATAAATAAAGTAACACTTACGATGTCATGAAGACTTCACAGGCAAAACTTTCGCTAAGTGAAAGATGAGTGGATTGCATATGAACTTTTTTCTAAAAAATAGCAATAATTTTTTGGTTTGTTATTTCATTTAAAAAATTAAATTAGTAGTATTTTATTATCATTTGATTAATATCAAACATAGTTCAATTCGAATTTGTCATAAATAGAATTGTTATCAATGAGGATTCTCGTTTTTCACAACATTCGACATTCTCCTTGACTTCGGCTTTTACTTAAGACCCTTCAAAACGACCCAAAATACAGCTCAGTACTCTTTCATGAAAATATTGATTATGTTTATAATCTGGCATTTTGTTAAAATACGCTTATTACTTCATTAATTATAGAAAAAATTAACAAAATTTCCCTTTTGATTAGAATTGTAAACAATAAAATATGATACATTATATATAAGTGTGTTTGTGTGTAATCCAAATTGTTTTTAAAAAGAAATGTAAATATAAAGAATGTTTAGAAGATTAATGTTAAATATGATAAAAATAACTTTTTTGACACTTTCATTTATTTAGTCAGTATTTCCATTTATCAGCCGAGTGTATTCGAAAAAATAAATAGTCAGTTAATACGAATATTATGGCCAGTATAAATAATTAAACAAGACGACGTCACTTATATTATGCATTGTACTAATATTTCATTATATGCATTTATGTATTCGTGAAATGTTTAAAATTATTGAACCAATAAATCGCATTTCTTTTCTCAAATTCCTATTATTTATAAAAATTAGTACGCGTAATGTTTAAGTATAATATACATACATATATATATATATATATATATATATATATATATATATATATATATATATATATATATATCCGTACGTATCATTCAGAACAATATTATTTATTTAATATATAAAATATGTACATTTAATAATATAGGTATGTCGTTTTCATTGCTGAATACATAAATAAAATATATTATATTTCAATATATACTCAATTTGTCTTAAATAATAAGATCAAGTTATTAATGAAAAATAAATAAAAAATAAATAAAATAACATTAAAACGGTGTTAATACGAAAAAATTACTACTTACCGATACAATAGGGGAACGTCGCAAGGAGGAATGTGTTACTCTGAGAAAAGGACACCTACATCTTGATTTTTGCATAACCTAAACGGCAATTCCTGCTTTTAGTGCGTTCTCGCACGAAATTAATATTCCTGGAATATACCATTTAAATTAGAACAATATGTTCTGATACCAGAATCAATTTGAAATTTTTTGATAACAGACCTTATTTGCTTCAGTTATGCTTATGCAGTAATGAAAAGAAGACCAAGAAGATGGAATGACACGGAAGAGGTAAGAGGGATATACTCTATCTATGAGTGCATCCATTGTTTTCCTACAATCCCTACTACTTAGCTCATACGCTACACACTCTGGCATAGTAGTGTATTCTCATATTCAGAGTTTATACTGAAAACAAAGAAAAGGAAGTAAGAATATTGTTTCATTATGTTAATAGATCTCTGTGTTCCGAAACTGCGCAAACGGTTTGCAATTTTTCAATTCAAGGTTCGCTCTTCTCTGTCTTATTGTTACCAATACTCCTTATTTATTGAGTATGTTACTAGCGTTCTAATTAGTATATT